ACAGGCGTGGCTCAGGAGGGGGACCCAGGAGCGGCCCCGCAACCAAGGCGGCCGGCCCGTCCTGCTCCATGGGCGCTGAGCCTGGGTGGTAGGTGGGATGCCCCGTCCGCCACCTTGACCACGCAGCCACGTGCGGGAGGGGGTGGCGAGGAAGCCAGAGAGAGGAGGAGCATGGGAAACATCCGGGAAACTGGTGGACAAACACGACACCAGGCCAGGGCAGAGAACACCCCAGAAACAACCTCGCTCAGACCGCGAGGGCGCTGCACCCACACGGCCAGCGCAGGTCACAGATGGGCCCTGTGTCCATGAGGCTTAGAAAGAGGAGTCGTGGCAGCAGACGACCCCACGGAGGTGGAGCCCAGGCCTAGGGCATCACCCACGATGCCCGGCCAGACACGCAGGGCATGGCTCACAGGAGGGACAGCGCCAGCAGCACTGCCCGCATCGCACGATGAGTGTGCAACACAGAAGGCACCTCCCATCCGCCCCGGAGCTTCCACCGTCTCCCGCGGCTCGAGCACTGAGGAGAAACGGGACCCGTGCTGGGAGCGCAGACGGCCCTGCGTGCTCAGCCCAGTTGCAGGAGAGACCACGGCTCAAATACAAGACGCAGCAGCAGCAGCAGCAGGTCCATGTAAAGCCAGTGACGGACGTGCACTAACCCATCAAGAAAGACCCAGAAACAAAGCTACGTACAGTAACAGAGAATAAGATAGAAAAGGACCGTGGAACAATAAGATCAAAAGTATCCTAACAGCCGGGCCAGCGAGGCTCAGTGGTTGAGCATCAACCTATGAACTAGGAGGTCAGGGTGTGATTCCCGGTCAGGGCACAGGCCCGGGTTGCAGGCTCCATCCCAGTGTGGGGCGTGCAGGAGGCACCTGACCAATGATTCTCTCTCATTGCTGATGTTTCTCTCTTTCCCTTCCTCTCTAAAATCAGTAAGAATATATATATTTTTTAAAGTATCCTAAGAGCCCTGCCAGTGTGGCTCAGCAGTTAGAGTGTTGGTCCGCGCACCAAAGGGTTGTAGGTTCGATTCCCGGTCAAGGGCAGGCACCTGGGTTGTGGATTTCCTCCCGCCTACGGTGCCAAGAGGCAACCAATCGATGTGTCTCTCTCACATCGATGTCTCTCTCCCCCCTCGGTTCTCTCTGAAAAAGCTATGGAGAAAATGCCCTCAGGTGAGAATTCACAGCAAACAACAGCCCTGACCCACTTGGTCCATCCTGTGCAGAAGGGGAGCAGGCTAGAGGCAGGACTCAGCCCTGGAGAGGAGCCAGGGCGCCTGCCGCCCAGACGGAGTATCAGGGCTGCACGCCACCACCTGCTCCCGGGCCTGAGGCCGGGCACAGGGACCCGCCCAGAGCTGCCCAACCTGGACAGGGCCGAGCTCTGGGCAGGGAGACGAGGGGGCGACCAGAGACATGAAACCATACGGGCACCACGGCTGTGCAGGACGCCACAGCAGCTCTGCAGGCGCGAGGGGCACTGAGGTGCCTGGGGTGGGGCTGGACAGGACGGGCACTGAGGGGCCCCGTGGAAAGGGGCCAAAGGGGCCTGCGGCTGCATAGCCAGGGCTGAGCTCTACCCACGGGCAGTGAGCAGGGCCGGCCTGCACCTGAGAACAAGAACCCGAGGGGACATCAGCCCAGGGCAACTGGGCCAGCAGGCGAGTGGACTGGCTGCTGGGAGCTGCTCAGCGCAGGGCTCGGACCTGGGGCCCGGGCAGGGGACCAGCCGCTGGGAGTGAAGCAGGACACAGGCTGTGGTGACAAGTGCGGACAGGGAGGGGCGGGCGCACTCACCGTCTCTCGCCAGGCTGGCCAGCGCCCCCTTGGCCTTGGGCCGGCTGTTTTCGAGTTCAGTCTCGATTTCGTCCTGGTAGCTGGAGATTTCCCCTGAGGGACCAGCGAAGAGCAGGAAGTGAGCACAGCACCCCTTTCCCGGACCGAGGGGTCTGCGGGCAGGACGGACCGAGGGGTCTGCGGGCAGGACAGACTGAGGGGTCTGCGGGCAGGACAGACTGAGGGGTCTGCGGGCAGGACACTGCTCACCTTCCACTTCCTCCAGTTTTCTCGACAGGACTTGTTCCAGCTGAAAACCAAGAGACGAGACCCTGAGCTGAGGGCCAGGAGTGACCAGGGCGTCAGCCGGACGCGGCGCCTGCAGGCCGTTACTGGCACAGGGCCCGACGCCCATCTTGCTGGGAACACGCTTCATGGGGCCGATCAAGGGCCAGGGCTTTAGGGTCAGGGGCCGGGGTCCCGACCAGGGGACGTGTGCACAGCTGTCTAGACAAACCTCCCAGGCCCGCGCCAGTCGCCCTGGGAGACAGCCTGGGAAGGGGACCCCTGTGCCCCTCCCCCCGGACCGCCATGTGCACCTCCCCACACACGGGCACGCATGCAGACCACCGTGTTGCAACACAGACGTGCAGCGTTGGGTCGCAGAACCGAGCGCTGACCGGGAGGCGCAGGCCGCTGCGCGGGTGGGCCCACCTGCTTCGCCCGCAGCTTCCGCTGGCCAGCCGTGTACGACGGGGGGTCACACTCCTCCTCCAGGTCGATCCTCATGAACTCGTCCACGGTCAGCTGACTAGTGGGGGTGTCTTCGAATTCCGTGAGCCTAAGACAGAGATGGGACAGGCGCCCTGCTGCCCTGCACAGCACTGACGCCGGCAGTT